TAGTACTTGAAGGGAGTGGACGAGTGAATGACAACATCTCTTATTCCACCTCGTCCGCCAGGAGAGCACTTACAACCTCGTTGTAAGTTACAACCTTGTTATCACGACAAAGGAGAATCTTTGACAGTGTCTAGTATGAGGTAGGCAATGAGTGGAGTAGATGCATAGCTTTCTTAATGTCAAAAAGCTCCTCTTCCATACTCTCAAGATCTACGCACAAATCTCCGTAGGCGTGAATGTGATCTTGAATTCTTGATCCGGCCTGATTCTGAAGTTCAATAGTCTCATGTAGGTATTCATCACATGTGAGATTTCCTTCTGATGAAATCGTGTTTGTATGGCATCAAAAAGTTGTGTAACCTCTAGATACTCCTCAACTTGCTTCATAACCGAAGGATCTAGATAACCCATCACAATGTAGACTGCTTGCTCCTGTGAATTCCTCCAGTCAATGTCTGTAATGTGCATTTGTATGTTTCTAAGCACATTAGTGAGACCCATAGATCTCAGCTTGACTTTCACCTGTTTTTCCCAAAGCAGGTAATCACCTCAACCATCAAAAGGAAGAATTTTGTACCCTGTTCCTCCAAGTTGTTTTGATGTCATCTCAGTTCGACAAAAACTAGAGACACAGTCTGCTGCCGTGTCAATTTTGTCATTTGGGTGTATTTTCAGCTGCTGAAAATGGTCAAGATACACTAGTCGCGTCAAGAGCTTTTCAACGATACCCAATTTGCCTATATGTCGGCAAAAAGTGGCTGCAACTGCCCGCTTATGTGTGAATTTCTTGTGTGACCACCGTCGTCCGTGATACAGTGTGATCACCCGTGATCACCGTTGCCCGTGACAACCGTCACTTGCAACTTACACCATTCGTCATCCGCGATTCAGCATCTGTCACTCACGACTTCCGTCATTCGCGAGTCTCGTCGTCCGTGATCACCGTCACCTGCAACTTAAATATCTGTTACCCACGACTCTTGTCGCCCATGACTCCCGTTGCTCGCGATTGGAAAAACCATCAACCGCAACTCTTGTCGCCCGTGACCAATGTCACCCGCGATGGCAATGTCTGTCACCCGTGACTCCCGTCGCCCGCGACCTGCACACGAGCCCTGCAACGAAGTCTTCCACGAAAAACCGGAAAAACCGTAAGTGTGCAGGAAAAAAAAAGGCCATAGAATAATTTTGCCGCTCGGTGCGTGGGGGGTTACCACTGAGGCAGAAAAAAACGTTAACGTCGGGAAAATGTCACTATTTGATGGTGGGAAGAGTTTGGGTGTTACAGGTGGAGTACATTCGACCTCCGTTGTAGAGCTTTCAACCCGCTGTGCAACTCGGATGCCCGCCGCTCGGATGCTCACCTTTGGAGGTGGATCCTCTTCCTTAGGGATCCTACCTCGGGGGAAGAGTGCACCGCCGTTTGGGGTTTCTCGCCTCGAATTGAGTGGGTCCCTGCCGCTCGAGGGCCCCTTTCGCTGACCTTCGCCGCCGCTGCCCGAACTCTGCGGGCCTCCACTGTACTTCACCGCTGCACTATTTCTATGCGGTCTCCGCTGCCCGCTCCTCGAATCTTCTCGCCGTTGCACATGAACACCTCCTTTTGACGCAGAAAAAGTTCGCCGCTTCGCTTCTGCTTGGAAGTCTCAGCCGCTTGTACTCGCTCACACACTTTCTTCGACTGTCACTAACCAAGCCTTACTCACCAGCATCTCGTGTAAATAGATAGATCTGCAAAGAGCAGCAACCACGGGATTTAACATAATTACATGTAATATAATATGTTATTATACAATTGTATACTATGTCTTGTTCTTTACCAAACGTCAAAAAACATTCATATACTCATGTGGCAACCCGTTGAAACGTATCTAGTTCTGAACCAGTCCTAAGATTGCTTGAGTTTCACCCCATTGTCATGATTTTAACATTAGTAAGACACGATAAAGTAGTTTTTGGAGACTATTCACAAAGTCGGAAGGAATGAATCCAATTTCTGACTTTAATTGGACATGGATTAACTTCGTGTTGAGTAGGGAGCAAAAGCATTATTGAGTCTCTGGAGACCAAAGAAAAATCATATGAATATGATCCATATGACGTCTTTGGTGTATCTCGGATCACATCTTGTAGATTAACAACGAGATAAATAAGAGTACTTCCACCTATGCAAACAGGTCCCAAATTACACTAAGCATTGCGATATTTATAGGATGATCTTCACCTTTGACGTGGCAAAACTTCTAGACTCCACCCATCCGCATTATCCCATCGTGAGATAGCGTAGATCCTTTCCGATTAGCTCCGGGGAGGTGATCTCATCAAGGTCCATCTGAAGAATTTAAAGCGAAACAGAGATCTGACGACAACGATTTACCGGAGGCGAGTATTTTTTCCCGTACTGTTTTCGGATTACGCAATTTGCGCAGACCTTGCAAACTCCATAAACGGCGACAGCCGGCTCAATGGTGGGCTATAGCTGGTTTTCAAGTGAGTTCCAAAAGCCAAGAAGAATTGCACTCTCAGGTCGCCCACAGTGGAACTCACTGTACAGAGAAAATCTCATTGCACTGGCGCACTTGTAGACAGCACGTATCTACCTCGCTGAGGAAGATCTCATAAGGATAAACAAGGAGTACAGTGGATCTGGATGTAAGTGCATTGCAGAATGTGGATCTAGAATTTTGACCAAAATTGTGGCTTGACTGGACTCCGCATGGGGGCACAGTCTTATGTTGTGAAAAAATTTCCTCGAATCTATGAGTTTTTGTGAAGCCCGCGGCAGTAGAGTATTACACAAATTTTTGTGAATATGTTACTTTTGGGGTTTAAGAGAGCTCCCTCAAGATTAGACATGTGGATTGTAATTTTTTTTCCTCCAGGTCTCTTCCTTGTCTGACTTGAGTTCCATCATAAAGATCAGAAAAAAAGGTGTGAAATTTTGCATATTTATAATCACATATCAACGTGAGTTGGTACACTGACACATGACTTTGTAATGTAGGAAACAGTATACAATAAAATACAAAGTGTACTCATAATGAACTTTGTAGAATAATAAATTTAATTCACATAATAAAGTCACTCCAAAAATGTGTATTATTGTGTATAATGGCTTTATGATGTGTGATCACATATCTTGCATTCAAAAGTATCTAAAAGAGATAAAAGACGCATGTAAAAAATACAAAACGAAGATAGTTGGATCACAGCAAAGATGGTTACAAGAAATGTAATCACATTATTTTCTATCACATTGAGATTTTCAAGTTACTTGTTATTTGTTTAAGTGTCACATGAACATTGTTTCGTTCCCATATCATCTAATAGCCATACTATAACATAATTTGTTGGATGTCTTGTGTGAGATGTTCATTAACTTTTTCTTTATACCATCCTTTATTTCATTGTTTCAAGTACTTCAAATCTTTATCACAAAAAATTGTTGATATTTGACGATAAATTCATGTATACTTTCTCATGGTTTACAAAAAATTGATAATTGCGCTTGTTATGATCTCATATTACATATTTTCAAAATTCACAAGTTTATTTCTTGTAAGACTTTTCAATACATCAAGTATATCAAATAATAAAATGAAAAATTTCATGTATAAGATCCATCACAACCTATTTCAAACAAGTATGTTTGACACTCAAAACTCATTGTAATTAATTTGTTTTTAGTTGTAATTTTGTGACACAAATTTCCGTTTTGTTAAGCTTGTGACATTCAATTTACAATTAATAAAAATTTTCAAAGTGTACAAACAAATCATTAGTTGAAACAAAAAACATGAATTATTTCTTTGAAGATATATCAAAAAATTTTGAAAAGCTTTGGTCAAAATGTTTTTTTTTCAAAAAGAACTTATGCCAACTTATTTTTATTAGAAAAATAAAATTTCCATCTAATCAAAGTTGAAGCAATTAAAGATTGTCGAATTTGAATTGATTCCTAACAATATTAGAATAGAGACTATTATTTGTACAATTAGAAAATCAAGTTCATGCTTGATCTATCCATGCACATCTTCATATTTTCACATGTAAATGCGGTGATATTCTACATTTGACAATAGTTCTATAATCTTATGCTATTTTGGAAAGCATAGATCTTATGCATTATACCACTGGGGATTGGAAGTTTCCAATGACGTATAAAACTTGTGAATCTCAGTTTTAGAAATTCTTGTCATGCGTTGGAGTCAAATAAAATTAGAACATATCTATATTCTAGTTTACGTTTAGTACAGAACAGAGGTTGTGACTACCAATTCTATACGTCAAAACATATGATTATCTATTTTCTTGGATGAACGAAGATTGTTGCGACAGACTAAACAGTTTCCGTGTAAAGAGATATCAAGATTGGACACCTTGTTTCTCTTGCTATGAATTCATAGGATATATGAATGATAATTTTGATGTTGTTGTAAAATTAAACGAAATATGGGACAGTATACGATACTAACAAGCAAGGGTATCATTGTTTTTAAGTGATATACGTCTATGAGTTTCCATCGCTTTATTAGTATCACGAACTAATTCTATAGAGTAATTAACTTGGTGAAGAAATAATTAACTTGGTGTAGGTGTTGTTTGTATTTTATTTTTGCAGATTGGATAGCGTAGATTTTGCAGATCGAACCAGAAAGGGGATTTTTGCAAGGGGTTTTTTCGTCGTGGGGCTTCGCGGGATCGTGCCACCTTTTTTCTATCCATTGGATACCCCAAAATGCAAGTGGATTCAAAAAGAGCTCTCTTCGGTGACCGAGGAAGTGCCGAAGTCCTCAGAGGGCTCGTCAAAGTCGTCGGTCAGGCAAAATCGTCAAAGGGAAGCAGGAGCGGAGGCGTCAGCACGAAGATTCTTCGGCGCTTTCGGCGGCCGAAGAAACTCGCCAACGGGTCTACCTGTGGGAGCGTTCGAGCCTCGCGAGCGTGAAGACTGTGGGGACGCGTCCCGGCGGTCGACGGAGCAATTGCCTGGAATTAGCGGGGCCCTGTGGACGAGGTCAAATTGGAGGACGAAGCTAGAGCTGCAGCTGGAATCGGGCCCGGAAGCAAGCGCTGGAGCTGGAGCTGGAGATGGAGGTAGCGGGAGCGACATGACTTCGATTACGCTGCGGAGTGTTGTGCACGGGGGAGGACCAGAACAATGCGAGACACGTCTCCGCGAAGGAACGCTCAATTCTAGACCCCGCGCCCTCGCATAGCGTTCTTGTTTGCTGCTGCACCTTGGCAGCGCTAGGTCTCATGGACTGGATCGCGTAACGAGGGTCGGTCGGCTTCAGCGTTGGTAGGAAATTGAGCAGTGTCGGATTCTCGGTAGTTTGGGTCGTTCGTTTCCCGTCTCGTGGATTTCGAGCTTTTGTGCAATCGAGCAAGAAACAGGAGGAAGATTCTTCACTGTCCCGGGTAGATCCGCTGGATGGTTGTGGTTGAATTGGCGGGAATTCGGAGCGGTAGTTGTTTGAGTAATCGCTGATTTTGCTCAATTTGTTATTTTTCTTCACGACCTGTGAGGCTGAAGGACTGCATGGAATTGTGAACGATCGGATTGGGCCCTTCGAATTTTTGGTTCCTGGATTGGACCTTCAAGGGTTGGGGATCAAAGCGCGATCGTTGTAGGAGCTGAATTGGTATATTGGTTGTGTTCTGGATCGGACCCATTGAAGCCCCGGTATTCGATTTGTTCAGGGAAATCAAATTTAGGAGTAAGGAAAGTCAAAGCGGCAATTAGCGAGGACGACGAAATGTCTATGATGCTGGTGAATTGTAGTGGCTGCCGGACGACCCTGCAGGTACCTCCTGGAGCCCCTTCGATACGATGCAGTGTGTGCAGCCGAGTCCTATCTATCGCCACGCGTTCCGCACCTGCACCATATCCTCCACAGCAATCCTCTATCCAATCGTTCCAACCTCCTATGCATCCACAGTATGCGCCAACGCCACCTCATCCTGGAGGTCAAAAGAAGGCAGTGATTGTGGGTATTTGTTACAGGTCCACTAGGTACGAGCTGAAAGGGTGTATCAACGACGCCAACTGCATGAAGTACATGCTCTTGAACAGATTTCAATTTCCTGAATCCTCGATTCTAATGTTAACAGGTATGTTCTTAGACTTCTGATTACTTTATCATTATGGAGTATGCGCACTTGCACTTGTCTTATAGCTCTGAAGGTTGAAGGATTGCTCTTTCGTACCGGTTGGTAGGTGCAAAAATCTAACTTGTAGTTTTTGAATTGTTCCTACGCAAATCTTTACTGTTGCTACTTTACTTATCTGTAGTGTGCCGTCATCATGCTGGATCAAATTCTATAATGTTCGTGCTTGTGCCTTTCAATATCAATTTACGCAATGAGAAATGCTTTGAAACTAAAGAGTATTTTTCGAAATCGAGCAGGCTTTTCCGTATTTCTTGGGCATTGTATGAGCTCTTCTTTGTCAGGAAAACATAATTACAAAGTTTATATTTTGGGTAAAATCGTCTTTCATGAGTGAGTCTGCTGTCAGAGTGAATTGAGAGGAAACGATCCGTTTAACGTGCGTTCAGGCCATGAACTGAGAACGCTCGAAGGGTTAGTTTTTAACATAGGTTGATTGTCATTGTGACGAGATTAGTCCTAGTCAGTGACAAAATTATTGAGGCTTTTTTATTGCAGGTTTACTTTGATACTGGTATCAATTCTTGTGTTATAAGCTTCACATCACTGACTCTCTACGTTGACATGAACTGGTTTTGGAGTACAATTTGTTTCAGGATCTGCTACCTTTCTGACTAATTTTGTTATCCGTTGACACAAAGCAAAAGCGCTCTCCTTTCTACCTCTTCAGAAAACTCACTAACTTGGATCTGCAAGCTGGAGTTTCTAGGCATGCTCTTTGATACCTCAAAACTGTCATTGTGATAATTCTGAGGAAGGTCCAAGAATTGTCCATCGGAGTGTATGTGAGGGTCACATGCGTAAGCTGTCGTTCTTGTCTTGTTTGTATATTATCTACGCACAGATTTCTGCATAGACTGTTGGTAACTGTACCGGCGATTACTTCTTCCTAAAGATCACACAAGGAGTTTTAATTGTCCAGTCTGTTTTCTCATTAGTTGGTCTTGGCGGACGCTTCACACTGTACCATTATTTCTGTTTTGTCTGGAGACTGACTTGAAGTCAGTCACCAGACAAAACAGGCATCAATAGTTGATCGATTAACTTCTCCAAAGTAGACTCCGAAAAGCATGAAAATGACTGACACATGTTGTCTGTCTGGCAGAGGACGAGAGAGATCCTTTGAAGCGACCTACACGTCATAATATACGGATGGCACTTTACTGGCTGGTTCTAGGGTGCAAACCAGGAGACTCACTCGTCTTTCATTTTTCTGGACACGGCGCTCAACAAAGAAATACGTTTGGTGATGAAAAGGATGGAATGGACGAAACAATATGTCCTGTTGACTTCGAGGTGAATGGAATGATAGTAGATGATCAAATTAATGAAGCCATTGTGCGGCCTTTGGGTCCTGGCGTGAGGCTTCATGCTATCATCGATGCCTGTCATAGTGGAACAGTGCTGGACCTGCCTTGGTTCTGCAGGATGGACAGGTTAGCGGAACCTTTCACTAAGACCTTTTTCTGTTACAAGTACCATGCCACGGAAGTTCAGATCCTTTTTTAGCTTCTTAACCAATTCAAGAGATGTGTCTTGGAAATGAACGCTTTGTAGGGATAAGTTGCTATCTAGGCTTTCTAATCGATTTCGGTGATACTACATACACTCTATTCAGGCAAGGTCAATGGGCTTGGGAAGATCATCGGTCTTCTCGCGTTTATAAAGGAACCAACGGTGGAGAAGCCTACTCTTTCAGTGGATGTGACGACGGACAAACATCTGCTGACACTTCGGTACATTTTCTTTCAGGCCTCCTATCTGGAGATGGTGTCATATATTACAGAAATGAATTGAAAAATGAGAACTTTACACTACCTTTTGGTACTGCAAAGTCGGAGGGTTCATCATGTTTTGAGATTTGAATGTCTTATATGTGTGAAATGTGAAAATGAATGTCAATTTCCGAAGCTCTGAAAAGTTGTGAAATGAATCTGATGGATGAACTTATATTTTTTTCCCTCTCAGGCTCTAGCAAAGAGCGCCAGTACCGGAGCAATGACATTCAGCTTCATTCAAGCGGTTGAGAGGCGTGAAGCTATGACTTATGCGGGTCTCTTGAGTTCAATGCGAAATTCTATCCGTCGAGCAAATTCAGGTTCACGAGGGGTAACAGATCTTATTGGAATGCTTTTATCTGGAGGCAGCTTTCCTGGCGGTGCACTAACCCAGGTCAGTTGCAGCTCCTCTCCTTGTCTGCTTTATCTTCAGACATATGCGATAGCTTAATGTTTAGAAGGTAAATGTTGGCAACCTAAGCATTTACGGTTCTGTGTTCGAAATCAATACCTTCTCAAACTCAAGGCCATTGAACGCAAGCATAAGCTTGTGTAAGCGCACAATGAAACAAGTGTGCGCTTGCACAAAAGCTTCCGAGTCTTTGTCTTCACAAGGAATCCAACAGTTCCATCTGGTGCTGTAAATGACTAACCATAAACTGGAGAAGTGGGACTGGTCATTGATTCACCTTCAACTTTTATAGTGAAATTTTTTGTTGTTTTTACTGCAACTGTGGACAGTCAGTCATCGAACTTGACATTCTGTATTGTTGTCAATTTTGTTGTTGTAGAAGTCCATCTAGTAACACCATATAGTGGTCAAACGAACACGTTTAAGCTACTAAGGATTCTTCCTACTATATGTAAACCACCGGGGTCGTTCGTACCCGTCTGAATTTCGGCATTTCAACCTGTTAGATACGTGTGCATCATGCATAGCCTGCTAGACTTGAGGCACTTAAAGCGACAGTATAGGTTCTTCCTGCTGATTGTCCGGTCTCTAGATAGAACGAGGTTGAGGAGACTGGGATGGAAGCTTCTGAATCTGCAATTCATATGCATCATTTTTTGTTTGAACTTTTCAGTGGACATCGGATCGATATTGAAGTTATCTCTTGCCTTTTACAGGAACCCCAGTTGACTTCAGCAAATTGTTTCGATATCAATAGTCGATTTCATTTATAGAAGAAAATGTTGGTACATAGGTTTTGAAAAATAAATTAAATTTCGACTATATGTGGTCAGGCTAAGTCATTGGTGGATCTTACTTCCCTCACCATTTAGGTCGTGTTCATTCCAATGCAGCCTGATCGAACATAAGTTACTTGGGTTTAAGTAATGATCGTAGGAGAGATGTAGAATCAACATAAATTGAGATTCTCCTGTGTATTAATCTGTATTTTTCTACAATGTAAAGAAAAGGAGGTCCAGCTTATCTCGATTTCGTCAGTTGAAAATACATGCAGCGGTACTTTCTTTCACAATCTCTGTCCTGATTTGTGAGAGTTGTCATGCTGTCAGGTCGGTTCTTTGGCCCTTCTTGGATGAGCATGAACCATAAGTATTACTTTAGGTCAGACTTTTCTCTCATATATTATTTAAGTTTTGTTCTCCGGTTCTTTTGTATGCTAACGAGGAGCCAAGCGATGAAGATTTTATCTTAGCTAAAGGTGAGGTTGTGATTTGTGTTTCGTCACAAGTCCACATGTCTTACATATTTCCCTTCGGTGAAACATTGCAGATAGATTGTCATAATAAAAACGTCGCTTTTTTTTCTTCTTTTTTCCCCATGTCAGTAATCTTGTGTTGCAACTTGCCAGAAACTTAGATCTGCCAATAAGAAGCTTCATCATCTTCCAATTGGATAGTGATAAATGAGGACCCATGTCTTGACAGCTGTTTGATGCGCTTATTCGGCTTGAAGTGTCCAAATGCTTTTGTGAAACTGAAACAAGGCACTTTCTCGACGTGTTGTGAATCTTCAAATCTTCAAACTAGACAATCTGTTCCGAGGCCTAAGCAAAACAGGTATCTGTTGTAGTAAACATGAGTTAATATGGCTTTTTTTGTGCTGTTCTTTTCTTATCTATTTTACCAGGGTATAAACCCTCTAAGGCAACCCTATCAAGTCTTTAGTGCAGAAGCCTTCTTCTGGTGAATGACAACGACGCAGAAGGAATGAGCGTAAAAGTCTTCGAATGTGTTACTCGGTTGGAGATGATAGCTACTTTCAGAACAGTGAGATATTTAGAAATGTGCTTGTCAGGCTTCTACAAATCACCAATGCATGTCAGCCTAGAGTGAACTAACTTCTGGTTGTAGAAAATCTCGAATTTGAGTTCAATCCAAGAAGATAGCTGTTCGTGAATTTAGAGGAGGTTGTGGTGAAGGTTGCAAAATGTTTTAATAGATCGAATACTTATTAGATGAGGATTATTTCCTTCGAATATGCTGTGCGTAACTCATTCAAATTTAGAGACACTTCTGAAGGTTTTGTGTTCAAATGAATGTACAAAATAATGTGATACACATATTCAGACATTAATTTTGGATCGTATTGTTTAATGATTCTGAACAACAAAATATAAAAATTCTCAACTTTAATTTGGCAATGTCTCAAAGTAGCTACAATTTAAGCCAATATGATTACAACGTAAGCTTTTGTTCAAACTCCAAAAATATATATTATGCAAAGTTATATATATACACAAATTACACGGAGCAAATGTGATACAATTTCTTCTTGACGATTCTTCACAATTTTCACTTCAACGTCATCCATGGAATTCTAAATATCCAATGCGTGTATGTTGTGATGCGGCTAATTTCAATTTTATGTTACATAATTTGAATGCAACAAATCCACCATTACGTGAGGTCTTATCCTTCTTGAGCATCCACGCGAACATCCCCTTCAGCACGAAATCGAATGTGTAACCAGAACTGCTAACAGAGCTCCTGCATGACCTCCGACCTCACCCTCAACAGGATATATGTAAGAGTATGTACGCACAACGAAGCCCAATCAACCACTGACTTGCGGAGTTAACATTCGCAGAGGTTTTCATGATCCTCACGGCAATGTCAAAAGTGATCTCCATGCTCTATCTGTAGTGCTCTTCACCTACATTGTCTTTGAAATTGATCCAGACACGCTCCTATGGTCACAACGCGAATGTTTTCTTGGTGTGACATTAATCAACGGTTTGCATAAAACACTTTCCTTATTTCCCACTGGATCCTGTTTTGGACAACATTTGGTGGAACTGGTGATAGATCCTGAAGAACGAAGAGAGGATGAAGAACAAACGATATATCATATCCACCTGGAAAGGCTGATAATCGTCGGCGCAACTGCCCGTAGGGTTTAGGGTCTAAATATCATTGGGATGATCAGATCATGTCCTCCACGAAAAGGTTTCGCTATCGAACTTTGCTGGAGTGGAGCAGGCTTTATAATTACAGGCTCTTTTGATCTTTAGAAACCGACACAACAATCTCGCTCTGGGAGTTATACGCAACAATTTATGCAAGGCAGAAGCGCCTGACGAATGATCTGTAGATGTATTCATCTGCATCAGTGGTCAAGGAAATCTGCCCAACCTCCGAAAAGTTACAGACCTTCCACAACATTCCAGTTCGAAGGTTGATATGTACAAAGGAAGGTACTTGCAAAGTGCCTAGAAGTGAGTGACTACCTTTGGTATACGATTGGGTATTTGAGAATTGGGTGTCATCGGCGGATGGCAGTGACGAATCTCGTAATACCAGCAAAGTCTTTCACACACTTCACTTCGTGAAAACATAGCACAGGATTTCCAGGTCCTTCCAGCACTCTGATTTTGCATAGGTAATCCCTTACAACTTCCGCCTGTTGTCCACCGTTTGTCTGCGAAAAATCAAATCATGGTACGAACAAGTATTCAGCAACAATCATGTCGCCAGATACTTAAATGAAGGAGCTTCCTATCACAAGTTTCCAGCATGATACATTCACTTGACTTGCAGTCGAGACTGTCCTCGACAGACGAAACATCGATTGAGAACCTTGGAAAGCTGACTCACTTGTTGTATCCACTTGGTTTGCAGCACGATAACTGAGGTATCTACGCAACTCTAGACTGGCTACAACCATACCAGTGTTTAGGAACACTGGAAGTTAATCGTTCACTGCACGGATACATACCTCCAAGGCGAGGAAACCTCCAGATCTTAGTGCTATGGCCGAGCCATTGCAAATCTCACGTAAATCATCTGCACCGTCCGGTCCACCATCTAGAGCTATTTTCGGTTCGTGCTTCCCAACCTCCGCTTGCAGAGTTTTTACATTCTCGGTAGGGATGTAGGGTGGATTGCTGATCACTCCAGCTAGTTCACCTACCTTGTCTTGCAGAGGTGAAAACCAGAAGCCTTGCAACACATTCACCTTATCCTGGAGTGACAAACATCAAACCAAAATGAGAAGTCTTCTCAGACTGCATGGCTACAATGAACAAACATCGGCAGTGTTCTGCTGACTGTGAATTTGAATATTAGCGTCCGTTCAAGGAACCTTAAAGCACTTGATCATCATTCTTATAAGATCCGCACAAATCAGGCTTACAGGTGACCGGCTTTATGCGAATCCCTTACACAATTTAGTGTTACAAAGGGTGTCCTAAATCTAATCCTATTGACAATTGTGTATGCTGCAAAAGGCTTCAGGTGTGCATTATCTCTCAACGATGTTCTGTTTAACTTTGGTGCAAGTGTTCTACACGGAGGCGTCTCAAGATCCAAATCTGTAGCTGAAGTAGACCAGTGGATGCGATATTCATAGAATACAATAAAACAAGAGGAGCATCCAGAATTAGCCACAAGCTCGCATGCTTACACTAGTGGTTTCAGTTTAGAGTGGACAGCTGGTATACCTGAAGGGAATATCTTTCTACATTTCGTTTCGCGACAGCTACTGCAGCAGTGCTTGCGTCGATGGCCAGCATATGTCCAGGAGACTGCAGCAAACGAGCAACTCCGATAGCGATGGCACCGCTTCCCGTACCTAGATCTGCCCATACTCCCTTGGCCAACGACTTATCACGCATTATGGCCACCTCCGCCATATCAACTAGTTGCTCAGTCTCCGGCCTAGGTATGAGAACCCCTTCCATGACACTCAGCACCAAGTCTCTCCAATGAGCAGCTGCAACCACATACTGAAATGGCCTTCTTTCCAGTATCCTCTCTTTCCATGCCCGGTCCATATCATGTAAGCTCATCTTCAGCATGAGTTGAAGACTATGTTTTTCTTTCGAGCTTGAATCTGGTGAGTTTTCGACGTCAGTGAGTTTGTTCAGAGTTAAAGTAGGAAGGGTTCTCGATCTCGATTCAAGCTCCTCAAAAGAAGCCATCTCTTCCAAATTCTCCCTTATACCATCACACGAACAACCACAATCCGTGGCAAACTCTGTTACAGGATCCCCATATCGTTCCTTGGAAAGATCGGCAAAAGCGCTGAAGCTGGCAGATATGTCTCCTCCAGAAGCGGTGAGGTCCTTCCGCTTCCCATATACATTCAGGGTATCACTCTCCAGCTTAGAAGTGACACCATCCTTGACATCTCTCCAGGAGCAAATCTTCCACGAGCCTGTCTGCAAATCGAGGTTTTCGGTCCAGCACGCACATCCTCCTACAGAATCATCAAGTAACCATTCCAACTCTCTCAGCAAATCGCTCACTTCTGGTCCGCCATCAGCATCCACAAATTCGGATCCCACTGATGAAGCCAAGTCTTGAGCTTGTTTCCTCCATTGGAGTACATCAGTCAAGGACGCTACACTAGAAGGCGGTCTTTCGGACACGGGAATTGCCACCCCGAAGCGTGAAATAGCAAAATCGGCTGTTCTTTTCTCCTGGCCTGCTCCTACTGCATATGATGACGAAGAATCTACAGATACCTCATATTCTAACCCGGCCAACTTATTCGTGGACGAGCAGCTGCAAACCCCAGCTCTGTTGAATTGCCCCTGTTTTGTGTACCCGAGAGAAGAGGGTAGCGCATGTGATGACGAAACGCAACCATGCGCTCGCATGCGCAGCTCACTTTGCGCCGAATTTGACTTCCTCGCTCGGGAGATCAATCTCCAGGAAGAAGGAGAAAGCCCTGGCGCTTTGAGTTGACCACAAATTCTGCGATTGCACAGGTAGGTTGGAAACCGAAACACAGGCACTGCAGCTCGCGCTAGGGCCGCCATGACCATGACCACCTCCCCGACCCGAGTTGCCCTACTCTCCAAGACAAACTATTTCCTTACATAGCCATGCTCTCTGATCAGCTCCGCTTGAAACACGAAGAGAATTCACTTCCCCCACTCATGCGTCTGGAAGTTCGTCGACGAATGACAACATCTTCACCCTTGCCCCACGCTGACAAGTGGCTCCGTGTCGATCACATGCAAACAACGAGCGGATGGCATGAGCAAAACCCCGAACTCTCGAGCCCGACGTGCAAACATTCGTCTGCGAGAACGCCCGACTTCATCTTCCGAGGAGCAATGGTGCGATTGCTCTTCTCGACAGCTCAACTTGTCTCGTTGACAGTCCAACAGATTCCTGGGAGGCGGATTTGAGGCTCAGTGCCTCGGGCCTCGCGTCCAATGAAGCCAGGCGCATCCGCAACTTCGTCCGTGTCCTGTCCTGAGCAGCAGTCGTCACTCGAGCTCCTGGACCTCGGGCATCGACCGTCCACGTCACCTTCACATCCGCTCTCGTCACGGAGAATCGTATTCTAGAGGTCCCCTTTCGTCTGGACATCCTCGTAGATCATCTAATTCCGTCACGCTGTGAGTCCAGCTGACTGTGAACTCTGAGTTCTCGGAGTCGAAAATCTGATCATGGCCAAATCTGATGTACTTATAGTTCATGCATTCGTGCTGTTAAAACCACTCCCAGGATTTTACCTTCAGCTTTAGCTCTGTCCGTAAATCTTCGACGTCTCTGTCTATGCGCCTAGTTTTTCCCAGCTGTCAGTTAACAGTGGTCGGCCCTAGACCATTCCCAGGACTGCTTTGAGTTCTCGATGTTTCTGGGCCAAGCGTGATATTCTGTTTTCACAGCCTCATTCTCATTCTTAAGTGCCTGAATCGCTTTTACCTTCTCCTTTGTCCTCTTTTCGAAATCTTTTTACAGTATCCACTTGTTGCGTACCGATGTTTCCGTGATGTTCATTTATTTTAGCTCTCGAGTGATTTCTCTGTGCACAATTGCGAATTTGCTACCTTCTTAGAGTTATTGATCCGGTGCAACTCCCGTTCAGAGGCCTCGTTCAGATTCTGGCTTTCCCTGCTTTATGAGCATTCTTCCCTGTGGCTGAAGTTGTGCTCTTTTTCTCTGGGGCTCTTGGCCACGTCCTACCCGATGCCCTTCGGTGCTTCCCCGGAAGACTGTGGAGTTCCCTGAACTCTTTCTTCCACCACTTCCATCCCCCAAGATACCTCTCAACCTGCTCACTGTCGATTCTCCTGTTTCGTTGAGAAATGTCCTCTCCAAATGCAGATGCACTTATGTTATGTTGCTCTCGTCGTTAGCCTTAGACCGACATGTAAACTGCCTCGTTCATTAGCTCTAGATCGAAATGCAATGCTACTCGTTCGATGATCGAGTATCGCAAAAATGCAGTCACTCCATGAAAACGTGACTTTCGTTCCAAATGGCTGTCAGCCCGCGGAATGTAAAACACAATCACGTTGCAAGGCCCTCCACGGTCACACTCCAAGACAAGGACAAAGACGAGACCAACACATCGAAAGAAAATCGAAAGAAATCAAAAGATCTTGTTTCCTCTAACGGCCCCTCAAAACACACGTCTGGGCCTCTACACCATGGTTAGAATGGGCACGCTGCAGTTCCAAAAGCCTGGGGCTATGGATCTGTACGAGGTTTACCCTGTCTCATACATAGAGGATGCCTTTCAGGAACCATTGACCGACCTCGCAAAGCATACACGCCTTCCACTTGCCTCAATCATCTAAACAGCGACATGTACAGTCCCATAGAACTCAAACACTAGAGTAACAAAAGCCACTGGACCCTGAACTCATCTCACACAATCCAGACAAGAATCAACAGCCCGATCACCGACACTAGAGCTTTACAGACAGTCATCGCCAGTATAAAGCATTCTCCTTTCATCATCTAGGTCGGTAACCAACCGAGAGGACCCACATCATATCTATAGCACCACTCCGAGTAAAATGTCCAATACATCGCAAACCTTTAGGAACACGAATGCAAAGAGAGATAGGCCCCCGACGTTGAAACACTACTCTCACTACAGAAAGCACAGGAAACGATCTCCCCTACATGATACTCAGAATCAGGGCAGCCTGCAACACGTATCAACTGATCTAGTACGCAGCGTTTTGCAAAGGAATAAAGAGGAGGTTTCACTACACACTCGACATGAATCGTAGCCCTGCATAGTCGGATTCGAAACCCAACGAACCTGACAATACGGCAGGCAACCAAGCTGCAAACGAGGTACTCAGGACGAGATTCAGAAGCATACACCCACGTCAAATGGAGGACCAGCGTTGGCAGATCGATCAACCACGCTCAAAACTCACCCCGCCCTAGTAGTTATTGGTATGTACACCGAGCTGTTGAAACACAAGCCGAGAGGAATTTCAAACCAGAAGCGGGATCTCTTGCAGGTGCCAAGATTGTCCCACCACACCTGGACCCGCACACCAAGACCGGCACTTCACCTCTCACACACTCCCAAATGCCCAGTAATGTCCGTGTGGTCTCTCCATACAATCTCCCCCCCATCGATCATCAGGTGATTGATATTCAAGGTGGAGAAAGAATCGGCAGACTTCTCCACTGAGGAAGTTGTCTCCATGTTTAGTACATAATGCCACGCCAAAGAAAATCACGATCGACTACCTCTCCTTCACTGGACCGAAAATACTTCAGATACTCAGCAAGCGGAAAACCTGGACATGAGTGTGCAAACTACGACTACAACCCCGTGATGCAATCGCTCTACTGATTTTGCTCTTCCATTAGACGCAGGGCTCCCAATCATCGTAAAATTGGAGTAAAAGCTGCTCATTTAAATCTGTTTCTTCTGACCTACGGAGATAAGCCTCCATCATAAAACTGGCTCCTCTCACGGGACCGACGATCGAGTACGACGATATTTCCTCCTGAAATGAAGGCAGGCAGGCAAGCCTCTCGCAGTCATCGGTCTCACTGGGCCCAGACGACAACCCTAAAACGGGGAACCCAAGAACCTTGTCTTCATTAGTGTGCGATGGACAAATCCAATAACCTACCAAAACGTGGCTTTCAGATCAGCGGGACACAGATACCATGCCAGAACAACTTTGAATTGAATCTTCGGAAGTCCTCGGCTGGACGAAGCGATTTGCGGAAGACCCTCACTCCACTTCTAGTGCCACTCCCCGTGAACATGCCCGACCGGAGGTCAATCCAGAAAGTGAGTCTAATACAGGTTAATGATCGCAATGGAAAAGACTATGAGTCCCATCTCTTCACAGGCTGTTGGGATGAACACACCAAACACATGGGAGCGGCTCTAATTACAGTCCGATCTACTATCTCAACAGAACCATCAGGATCGGCGACCTGGGAACAACAACATTGGACCGAGCTCTCATCATATTGAACGGACAAGCAATTTTACCGATCGGCTTGCTTGACTCTTGCCAGAACAAGCTACAGACCATGCCATGAAGCTTGCAATTTACAGCTCTATCACCAGCAGGACCTACAGCAAATACATGATGAACAGCTTCAAATCAGCCCCGTCTTCTTCAAACCTCTCCCTTCGCTCCCAATGCCGGCTTGGACGGAGCATTCAGCTCCCATTGGAGTCCTCACCGAATCTCCAGACCGCGATGGCCCTCTCGAAGCTCACTCAGCACAAAAAGCTGCAACTGGAACTCACCAAAATCGCCAAACTCTGACTCTGAGCAAATCATAAGTCTACGCAAGAGCCGAGAACATGGAGATCATGACATGAACGCCAGTAAGACATCGGAAGAGCTCGTTCCCGACACGCAGACTTTCAAATGCACAACTCCACAGACGACAAAATCCACGACGAGCACAAAGCTCTCCCTCCGAGAAGACTCTGAGTGTCCCCAAAAAGGTCACCAAAAGCTTGAATCCGAATTTTCCATCGCTCGAGAGCTTCAAGCTGTCAGCCACAACAGCAACAGCATCGAGACGTCCCGTGGAGATGGAGATGGTGGGAATCCAATAGCCACCCCTAAACTAAACTGGACCAGCCTTCGTCAGGCTTTGCGGGTAACGACCTCTCGACATACATTTCACCCCAACGTTAGTTCGTTCATATGAAGATTTCTAATGGACGAGTTTGCATCTGTATTATGGCTGTATCTACAACTCCCAATGGGTGGTAGAAATATGCCTCATGACAAGATATATATTTTTATTATTACCTGTTATTATTATTTAAGTGTAGCCAAGGGCGCGGCTAGTTATCACTCCCTTTGGGTTAATTATATTTCACACTCATGTATCAAATAACTCTAACCAATCATTCCTTATTCACCTACATAAAGTTGGAGCGGGTTAGCATTACATGGTGGGGCGCTATGAAACTTGCTCGAACTTACAAGTTGAAGGGAAACGAAAATAGCTCAAAAGTTTTATGTCCTAACAGTGCTCCGGAATTATTACATGGCCTAGTCTAATTCCATGGCGGAAGGGCTTGAACGAGGACAAGCCTTTCAATTACCTCTTTTTCTTTGGACTCTCATCAAAATAGGAACGAGTGAATTCCAAATGGAAAGCTCATATCTCCGCGGCAATTACTCAGAATCAAAGAAAGTCCAGTGACAACAAAACCAAAATCTCTGCACATCTTGATTAAGTTTTCACTAATTGTTCTCGTGTTGTTGCTCAAGGGAGTACTTCAACTATAGTCTTCTTATGGAACCCTGGGAACAGGGATGCCGTTTTCCATTCAGCGGCCTCTTTCGTACTCTACCCAATGTTGTCGCACAAGTTTGTCCTAGTGCGTTTCTTCCATCGCGAGGGAGCTTTGTAAGTTGTTCAATCATAGCTCCGTCGAAGTTTATGATCCAGGTCTGACTTCTTGGAATGAGATGAGGATTCTTGAACTTCCATCGTCCATCCCTTCCCTTTCTCTCCTATTCCATGGGTGCATATTTCCAATGTAGATCTCAAAGGCTAGAGCATGGTAAATATTTCATGTGGCATCATAACCTCGCAATATAAAAAGTACAACAACATGGATGCGGGGAGCATGGTTCCGAGCGCTTGCGATGTAATGTTAATCCGCTCGCAACTAGGTAGGTGAATAAGGTGTGATTACTTAGTACAGTAATAATTAGCCCAAAGTGAATGATAACTAGCTGCTCCACAAGAAAAACTTTTGAATGTAGTTTGGGCTCCAATATTCTTTCTTACAACCTCATTAAGTCGAAAGTCATTGTATCTCGCAATTGAAAAGTTGATATTTGTCTAGACTTCATGTACTCATGCATCAAAATATCTTTGTGCTTCCATAAAATTTTGTTGTTTATGTCACTCTTATATCTCTTTTAAAACTTATTCAAACATGCATTGTATATCACAATATGTAATGCTACGAATGAATACAAAAATGTCAAAACTTGACCAACCTTATAATTTATTTTGGTTCTTCTTAAATTTCAAACCAATATCTTGTATCATCCAAGTAGCTATTGCAAATGATGTCAATATGTAAAAATTATTATAAATTATACTAAACAGTTACTATAATCTTACAACTCTTATAAAATACAACATCTTTTAGCTACTGTTCTAACTTCAAATTTATACTAATAGTTTAAATAATAACTTTGATAATAAAATGATCTAGTTATGTCATATGATTTTGTAAATATATTGGAACAAAATTTCTCTTTCTGTTTTTCTTGATCATAAAATTGTACTCATAATCTACTTTGTTAAATAAAATCTTCAATACATTTTTTACATCTTGTTGAATATATTTTATCAATATTTACAAATCTGAAAGTGATCTTTATTAAAATTTTCAAAATTTACTGAAATTTTTTAAAATTTTCATCATGATCAATAAATTTTATCAATTTAATTGGGACTTTATTATAATCTAGAATTGTTAATATAATAATTATAATATTTTAAAAATCATAATACCTTTTAATATCTAAACTTATATCTAAATAAAGCTCAATTTACATATATTAAAAAAAATTTGCTAAAAATAATGTTGTAAACTTTTTCATTAAGATGTAATTTTAATAACAAAAAATTAAAAAAACAGAAAAAAAATTAAAAAAAACAAAATAATTATTAAAAATTTTGCTTCACTTTTAATTTACAATAATCTTATATTGATTTTGATTTAATTTTATGAACATAGATAAATAATAATAATGATTTTGTAGATTTTAAATTTTAAATTATGTTTAAAATATTTTTGATTTGTTATGATTTGATATTAAGAAATTATTAGATGGTTATGCAATCTATTATTATACACTACTCATAAAATCTCAAATAATTTTGGTTATTCTTGGAGTTTTAGCTTAAAACAATTGTCATGATATGATACATTTCCATTTTTAACGAGAATTCAATTTGTGATTACTGATTTAAAGAACAAGAAGATCATTTGTTTTTTGTAACAAGAAGATTAATTTTTTCTCTCATTCAAGACCGTGCGTGAGCGCGCTACGCGTGTAGCGCGCTCATGCACGGTCTTGAATGAGAGAAAAAATGTTGACTAAATATTTTTCAAGACCGTGCATGAGCGCGCTACACGCACGGTCTTGAATGAGAGTAAAAATATTTAGTCAACGCTACATCCGAACTAAATATCATGCGCGTAAATCGTCAAGCAATTTTTTGTCTTCGGCTCTTCGTACCTAGAGCGAAAACGGCTTGACGATTTAAGTGCTAAAACAAGATTTTGAAAATCCAAGAGAAGCTACTTGACGTATTGTATTTGCTAATTGTCATTAAAATAATCTGAATTAGCTATAATTTGATGTTAAAAAATTATAAGATGATTATGAAATCTACTATACACTATTCATAAAATCTTAAATCATCTTAGATATTCTTGGAGTTTGGGCTTAAAAAAAATTTCATGATGTGATACATTTTCATCTTTAACGAGAATTCAATTTGTGATTACTGATTTAAAGAACAAGAAGATCATTTGTTTTTTTGAACATGAAGATTTTTTTTTGTTTTCTCATTCAAGACCATGTGTTAGCGCGTTACGCATGTAGCGCGCTCATGTGCGGTCTTGAATGAGAGAAAAAATATTTAGTCAAAGCTACGCTCAAACTAAATATCATGCGCGTAAATTGTCAAGCGATTTTGGTCTTCGGATCTTCGTCAAGCGAAAACGGCTTGACAATTTATGTGCAAAAACAAGGTTTTGAAAATTTAAGAGAAGCTACTTGACGTATTGTATTTGTTAATTGCCATTTAGCTATAATTTGATATTAAGAAATTATAAGATGATTATGAAATCTATTATATACTATTCATAAAATCTTAAATCATCTTAGATATTCTTGGAGTTTGAAATTAAAAAATTTTCATAATCTGATACATTTTCATCTTTAACGAGAAATCAGTTTGTGATTATTGATTTAAAGAACAAAAAGATCATTTGTTTTGTTGAACAAGAGTATTATTTTTTCTCTCATTCAATGCCGTGTGTGAGCGCGCTACGCGTGTAGTACGCTCATGCACGGTCTTGAATGAGAGAAAATATATTTAGTTAGCGCTACGCTCGGACTAAATATCGTGCGCGTAAATCGTCAAGCGATTTTTGCTCTTCAACTCTTCGTAACTAGAGCGGAAATGGCTTGACAATTTACTTGCGAGAACAAGAATATGAAACTCCAAGAGAAGCTACTGGAAGTATTGTATGTGCTAATTGCCATTTTGCTAATCTCATGCATCTGGACTGGTCCGTTACCCTGTTTTCATGAGTACTCATGTCTTAGTACATTGATCTAATTGCCAACATAGCTCGCAAAAAAAAACCCCAATCCATGCTTCCGCAGAATTCTAAACCTTGACTCCAAACTATTTAGTTGCAAAAAATCTTTCTATCTCACACATCTCATACTCATCTAATTGCTTTAGTGGCAAAGTTTGTTGATGTAAATATGACTATGTTGATAGCATGTTGTTAAAGATACTTTGAATCATTGTTGTTGTAAGTTTGGATCTTACTATTTTGTTTAGACCTATAGTTATATCTGTTTTTCAATTTTGTCTTTAAAAATAAATAATCATCATGTCAATTATATTTGATTATCTCATAATTTGCTCTACAAGACTTAATGATTATCATTATCATTATTTTTCATAGTATTTGATTATTTCATAACTTGTACTAGAAGATTTAGTGGTTGTCTTTTTGTTCCGCATAATAGTTGAAGTTGAAATTGTGCTTGTGACCATTGAGCAAATGAGTCTTTCACTCTCATATGTCACTCTTAAAACTTCTACGTTGCTTTTTAGGTTGGTTGATTCAAATTTTGGATGTGAAGATTACTCTGAAGCATGGATTAGACATAAAGATATTGTGTTATTAGAAATTTTGAAGAACGAAAAAGCTTACAAATAGCTAGTATTCAAGATTTAGTATTTTATAGAATTAACGGCTAGGATTTTCTAGTGGTTGACTATGATGGACATTAGGACTTTGTGTTGTGGCAACTATTTTTTTGCTAGGACTCGAAGAACAGTTTGATCTTCTCATCTTTAAAGCTACAGGCTCTAACTATCTTATGCATTTTACTTCTTGATTGACACACTATACAGGTTACGAAGCGTATTGAAAATACTCTTGCATAAGAACAACACTTGGTTATTACTTCTAAAGTGTATACATATGTCAGCTCCTTTTTAGTTACCATTGTCACTCCCAAGAAGATATCATCAATTTGCTTGCATCAATAACTTGAAGTCAATCTAAATTGAACTCTATGAGCTTTTAACAAATTACAATGATTGAACTAAAGTAAAATGCTTTTTTCAAATTAACGTTTCTTTAAATTTTACAATAATGTAGATATTTCTAGTTCAAAAAATAAAACTAATCAAACTTTTGTATGTAAATGTTGACATATTTTTCAAATTAATGATTTAAAATATTTAAAATATATTATAATATAAATTTGATAACATAATAAAATTCAAGTTCATGTAATGTATAATTTTTTTGGGGTG